GAGGTTTTACGAAGCTCAGCACCTCCCAGGGACCTCTGCCTTTAGACAGGTGTCTTGAGAGACACAAAGCAAAGAGAGGTTGCAGGGCCTGCTCGCTTCTCTCTAGCAGCTGGACCATCCCTTGATGGGTCAGGCTCCTTAGGAATGAACACACAGGCCAGCTGGCTCAACCCCCTTATCTCAATTGCTCCCTATCCCCCTTAGTCTGTGCTGCCAGAGTCCCGAGACCGAGCTCATCTTTTGGGCAGGTACAAGGCATTTCCTGGATGATGCAGAAGCATGCAACTCTCCAACCTATGCTGGGAAGCTTTGGCCTTAAACAGATTGTGCCACTCAGGGCTGCTAGGCAGGTGGGCGAAACCCGGGCCAGTAACTTCCCTTTAGGGCTTGCAAGCCTGCAGGATCCTGATCATGAATTAGAACCATTCAGCCATCTATTCATTCAGCAAATATTTACAGACCACTGCCCAGTGGATGAGGTTTATCCACTCCCAGATGCCAGCCCTTGAGATTTCCACCGGAGAGGAAGAAGGGCCAAAAAGCTTTTAATCTTTCCTGAGTATGAACCCGTTAACTCTGGCGTGACCGCCAGTCCTGGTGCAGCTAGGTGCCTGGTAAGCATCCTTTGTTCCTGTTTCGCTGGGCCTCCGAAGGAAGGGCAGTTTGGAAAATCACTTTCAGAACGTCACCGACATTCTGGAGAATGCTTTTAGAATATTCTTGCAGCTTGTGGCAAATTAGAATAGAGAAGTGGATCTGAAGCGCAAGGCAAGGGGGAAGGCACCAGGGCTCAAAGAGTTTGAGAACCCCTTTTTCTCTCCCAGCCTTTAAGCAGAACCCCGTCTCATCCTCTCAGGCAGCAGGGGCCCCCTGGGATAGAAACCCCCCTGAAAGCAAGATTGACATCCTCAGTCAGCATCCCCGGTGCGTTCTAAAAGGGAGCATTCTCTGTTGTGGCTAAATTGGAAGGTGATTAAGACTAAGAGAGAGACTTTTAGAAAGGTCGGCCTGGAACTCTTTCTGGAAGGGCTCTGTGCTCCATGCTCAGGAATCTGAACTTGACCCTGTTAGGGATAAAGAGCCACTGATGGCATTCTAGGCAACAAGTGATTGTGTCAGCTCTGTGTTTAGTCCGTGGGCGGTGCAAACAGTTAATGTGCTCTGCTGCTAACCAAAAGGTTGGTGGTTCAAGTCTCACCAGAGATGCCTCAGAAGAAAGGCCTGGCAATCTACTTCAAAAAATCAGCCATTGAAAACCCTATGGAGCACAGTTCTACTCTGACATACATGGGGTCACCACGAGTCAGAACTGACTTGAAAGCAACCAGTTTGGTCATTTTAGAAAGTTCACTCTAGCAGTGGAGGATGGATTGGGGCATGTGTGCGGTGGTGGTGGTGGTGGGGATCTGCAGGATGGCTGCCCATTGAGGACACTTGGCAGAAAGCCAGTTGAGAGAGAGGAGAATGTGGACCATAGTCATAGATTCTTGGTTAGGGGCAGAGGTCTGGAGGGGGACCAGCACAGAGGAAGATTTGCCAGGACATGGTGATCAATGATGTTGGGGGGTAAGAGCCATTGATGTGTCTTGGCCACTTTGGTAGGTGGTGACGTTCTTCACTGAATTAGGAAAGGCAGCAGAAAGAGCAGGTTTGGGGAAAACAGAAACAGGTTTTGGACATGCCCAGTTTGAAGCACATGAAGGACATCCTAGGAGAAGTTCAGAGTTGTTGTCAGCTGCTGTTGAGTCGGCCCCTGACTCCTAGCTACCCCATGCATAACGGGATTAGATTGCTGTCATCTATAGAGTTTTCACTGGCTGATTTTTCAGAAGTATATTGCCAGGCCTTTCTTCCTAGTCTGTCTTAGTCTGGAGGCTCTGCTGAAACCTGCTCAGCATCATAGCAAATGCAGACCTCCGCTGACAGATGGGTAGTGGCTGCGCTTCAGGTCGCCCACGTGGAAGGCAAGAATTCTACCACTGAACCACCACTGCCCCTGTACCCAGTTAGTTCTCAATAAATGCCAGCTAGAAGTGGCATGGTAGTAAGAACTACCACGAAGGCTAACACCCACTGATTTATTCTGTGCACAAGGCCTTCTGCTAAGTGCTTAGCATGTATCAACTTGGACCTCACTTCCACCTTACTATGAGTTAAGTACTGTTGTTATTTCCATTTATAGATGAGAAAACTGGGGCCCAAGGAGGTCGAATAATTAGCCCAAAGTCACTCAGCCAGTGGGTGTGTGAGTGGCAAGGCTAGGATTTGAATCCAGGCAGTCAGACGCTACAGCCCATGTTCTGAATGGTTCTGTTATAGTAATAGTTATGGCAAAGGTGATAGGAGAAGTACCAGTGATAGCAAAGCTGGTTGGTTTGGTTGTTCCTCATGCCAGTCACCAGAAGAGAGAATATCCTGAGTTAGAAATGGGGCCGGAAAGGAGGGGACTTGGGAAGGTAGGAAAGGGGACATTGGTTCCCCTGGGCTTCACCACATGACTGAGGCAGGTATTGTTGGCTGAGGAGCAATAAACGTGAAGACACGTGGAGACTCAGATTGATTGGTTGTGGTTTTTCTGTTGAGAAGGAATTCACAGCTGTGTCTGGACTCAAGCAGGAAGGATGCTATGATCAATTAATTATGTCTGCCATGGAAGTGGGAAGAAGAGGAAGAGATGTATGTGCCAAGTGTTTTCCATCTCTGGTGCAGATAGCAGAAAGTAGGTGTGTGTACGTGGGTGGGCATGGGAGGCAGGAGTTGCTTACCCCTGCAGCTAGCCTTTTGATAGTAATTACAAGGAAGCTCCCTCCAAGAGGAAGCAAAAACTTAAACCAAAGCAGGAGCTCCTTGTTCCAGCCATTCTTCAATTCCTCAGAATGATCCTCCCAGACCTATATCTTGGTGTTCTGGGATCCATGGAATTTAAAGATTAGAGTTTCAAGAAGAAAAGAGTGGTCAATAGTGCAAAACGCTGTTGAGAGGTCAAGAAATATAAGGACCAAAATAATTCCCATCTGATTTGGCAACATGATGCAGAATATTGGGGGCAAAGGCCAGGCTGCAGAGGAGTCAGTGGGTGACAAGGAGGGGAGGCAGGGCTGCATGGCGCTTTCAAGGCATTGGGCTTGGTTAGTGGAATGGGAAAATCGTAAAATGTGATGTTATATTTTTAAAAAGATGGTTACAAAACTGTCTACATGCATTAGAATCTCAATTATGCACATTTATAATAGATGCACAGGTACAGTATGAATTGCAAAAAGGAAAGAAATGCATGAAAATTGGGGTTAAAATGGGTAAATTTTCTTTCCTTCTTCATTATTTTCTGTTTTCTAAGCTTTTAAAAAAGATCACGTATTATTTTTTATCATCAGATAAAAGCCATTAGAAATTATTTGACAAATAAGCTTGGCTATTATGAATGAAGAAGTCCCTGGATGTTGCAAAGAGCTAATGTGTTCGGCTGCCAACTGAAAGGTTGATGGTTCAATTCCACCCAGAGGCACCTCAGAAGAAAGTCCTGGCAATCTACTTTTGAAAGGTCAACAATTGAAAACTCTATGGATCACAGTTCTACTCTGACACACATGCAGTCACCATGAGTCAGAGTCGACTCAAAGGCAACCATTTTTTATTGTAAGTAGGGGGCAATAAGGCAATAGTCTGGGAGTAGGATGACCAACTGGCCCAGTGGGCCTGGGACTGAGGGGGTTACCAGGACATGGGACCTTCAGAGATAAAACTGGGAAAGTCCTAGGCAAACTGGGAAGAGTTTGCTACCCCAGCTGGGAGGCAGAGGAAGACATAGCATGGAAGGGAGGTGGGATTTTTTGGAGGGGTGAATACTGGGGCAAAGAGGTTCTGAGCATATTTGGAGGCTGAGACGAAGAAACCATTAGATAAGGAGAGATTGAGTTTACAGGAAAGAGAAAAGAAGAACCGCCAGGGTGAGATCAGTGTGAAAGCAGCTGGGGCCAGATCCGTGCCTAAGGGGAGAGACGGTCTGTGACGGGAAGGGGGACGATGTTAGTTCTGAGACAGGAGGGCAGGTGAGGCAGACTGGCCAGAAATAAGTTTGTTGATGCAGGGGAAGGAATTTCAGGAAGTGCACTGCTGAGGGCCAGGAAGTCTGGTGAGGCTGAGAAGCCCCTGAAACACATTGGACCCTGAGGATCCCATAGTGGGCACCTGTTATGAATGGGATTGTGTCCTCCAAAAAGATATGAAGTCCTGTGAATGTGACCTCATTTGGAAATAGGGTATTTGAAGATATTTTATCAGTTAACATGAGATCATAACTAGTGCAGAGTGGGCCCTAATCCAATATGACTGCTGTCCTTATAAAAAGAGGAGAGAGAGAGAGAGAGAGAGAGACACAGAGGGAAGAAGGCCATGTGACAACAGAGGCAGAGACTGGAGTGATGTATCTACAAGTCAAGGAATGCCAAGCATTGCTGTCCATCATCGGAAGCTAGGAGAGGCAAGGAACAGTTCCTCTCTCAGAGCCCTCAGAAGGAAATAACACAGCCGACACCCTGATTTTGGACTTCTGTTGTTATGATGTATTTAGGTGCCACTGGGTCGATCCCTACTCATAGCAACCCTATAGGTCAGAGGACAACTGCCCTACAGGGTTTTCTAGGCTGTAATCTTTACGGAGGCAGAGTACCACATCTTTCTGCTGCGGAGCAGCTGGTGGGTTTGAACCATTGACCTTTCAGTTAGCAGGTTAGCAGCTCAGCGCTCAACAACTTCGCCACCAGGGATCCCTTCAGACTTCTAGCCTCCAGAATTGTGACATGATAAATTTTCATTCTTATGCACCACCCAGTTGTGATATTTTGTTGTGGCAGCCCAAGAAAACAAATACATTACCCAATAAATGTGTAAGGTGTAGCTTCCCCAGTGGGGGCTGCTTCCCTTCCGGGCGCATATAAGCCCACTCCAGCATCCCCTCCCAGGTGCCATCCACTCCCACAGTTCCCCCTCCAGCCACCTACCTCTGCAGGAGGGCAGGGGGAAGTCCCACGTGGCGCTATTCTCGGAGCTGGCGTGGCAGGTGAGCACGGCATGGCCCTCCAGGAAGAAGCCGGGGTTGCAGCTGTAGCGGACCTTGTCGCCCAGGTTGAAGGTGGAGCCCTGCTGGATACCGTTGGGCAGCCTCCCTGGGTTCCCGCACGTGTGACTGGGGAGAACTGGGGGCAGGGAGGGAGAAACAGCATCCCGTGAGCAGGCTCAAGCTCTGACACCCTGCTTCCTAGCAGCACCCCCTTAGGCAAGTCAGACCCTTGAGACTCACTTCTTCTGTAAATCGGGGATGGTCACTCCCACCTGCTCACCTCTCAAGCCTGCTGGTCTCCAAGGCTGGGGTACTCACAAGAGGTCATGCATTAAGAAGGAGCCACAGGTGATATTTCTAAGCAGGCACCCAGGTTCCCCATTCTCTCTAATGCAGCCCTGGATTGGAATTACGTCTCTCCCAACCACTTGCTTTGAGACCCGAGGAGTCACTTTATTCTCTTGGGCACAGATGCTCTGATTTCAGACTCCACACCCTTTCTCACCAAACACCACGGCAGTTCCTAACGCAGAGCATGGCATAGAGTAGGTGCTCATTAAATAGAACGTCCTTTCTTTCAAGTGGGGTCTGCCCTGGGAGGCAGAAGGGACTCTGGCCCAGCAGGTTTGGGGAAGTTTTAGGGGCTGTTCACGCTGGAATAGGCAATGAGATGGGAAGGCAAGAGCTTGAGTTCTGATCAGCCTGACCAGTTTAAAGGGGAAAATTGAGAGTGGAGGAACATGATGTACAGTGTAAGACCAGAGCAAAAGCAATCAGGACCGGCTGCAAGTGTGCTCTCATTAGCCAGTGGAAATAGTCTTTGTAAGGATGCAAGAGCATCATGACCCGTCAATTACAGGTGGGAGGACGCAGCTCCTTCGTGCCTGTGAGTCACCTGTTCAACTGCAGCACAGCTTCCCCTGCCCTCTGCCTTTCTCCCCAGAGATGGAACTGCCTGTGCTCTGCAGGTCAGGCCTTCCAGCCTTCCTGGGTGGCCCCCACTGGGTGGAGAAGAAGGGTCACAGCTTGTCCAGACTGCTGTCCAAGCACCTGTCCATTAATTCATCTGTGGTGGTTTATGGAGGCTGCACATCAGGTTAGTAGGGAGTATAGACTTAGAGCCACATCCCTGCCCAAGTGCTTACCACCTGTGGGACCTTGAGCAAGTCTCGTAACCTCTCTGGCCCTCAGTTTCTTTGTTTGTAAGATGGGGATCACAATAGCACCTTCCTGACAGGATTGTTGTGAGAATTAAATGAGTTAAGGTATGGAAAATGCTTAGATCAGAGCCTGGCATACTGTAAGTGCAACGCAAGTGAACTTAAGCTCCCAGTTCAGTGGGAGATGTGTTTGATCAAGTGGTATGCTGAGTGTTATGATGGGATATGGTAACGGAAAGGCTGGTGGTTCAAACCCACCCAGATGCTCTGTGGGAGAAAGACCCGGTGATCTTATCCCATAAAGATTACAACCTAGAAAACCCTATGGGGTAGTTTCATTCTGTCAGTGGGGTGCTATGAGCGGAAATTGATTCAGCAGCACCAAACAACAATGATGATGGGATAGGGACCAGGCAGGGCACCTAACTCAGTCTAAGGAGTCAGGGACAACTTCCTGGAGAAGGTGACATCTATGCTGAACAGTAAAAGATTAGTAGGAATTAGCAAGGCAAAAAGAGTGTCCAGGCAGGGGGAACAGCATATGCAAAGGCCTTGAGGCCAGAGAAAGCCTAGGAGCTCAGGGATCCTGGAGTGACAGGTGGGATGGCAATGATGATGGGGAAATGGAAACGGGCAGGCCTGGGCTCTAGAGGGTGCTCCAGGCCCCTGCTGTGTCCTTTTCCTGCCCAGGGCCTGGTTGGTTCCTGCCTTTCAGGACCATCTCCACCAGCCCTGATGACTTCAGAACCCTCAGAAAGAAGGCATTCCCTTCTCCTTCCACTCTGTCCCTTCAAGGAGAAGACAACTTGGTGCCAAGGGAAATGGCTGACTTTGGAACCAGCCTGATCTGTGTCTGAAATCAGGCGCTGTCATTGTCTTATTCTGCGTGACTTTGAGTCACGTGACCTCTCTGAGCCCTAGTTTTCTTATCTGAGAAAGGAATGAGGATAATAACGTCTAGTGGTTGAGGAGGTTATTGGCAATGAATGACGTGTGGCTGGCACAGTGCCTGGCACGAGGTAGGTGCTCAAAAAATGGCACGTTATTATTACACTGGGCCAGAAGGGCCCCGAGGGCAGGAGCCTGCTCTGGGTTACAGAGATATCCTGGGAGCCTAACACAGTGCCTGGCACTTACAGGGAGACATTTGAGTGTTCATTACTTGATGGTTTGGTGAATTACTCATTCACATATTAACTTCTCCATGCAACAAAAATTTATTGAGGGCCTACAGCGCCAGGTGCTGGGAATAAAGCAGTGAACAAGACAGAGGGAATGCCTGCCCTCAAGAGGCTTATTCTTTTGTGGGTGAGTTCAGCTTAAGAACCCAAGAGCTCTTCCTTGCACGTTCTCTACCCCTGACAGGTGAGATGACCTCATGAGAGAATTTACTCCCGGAACCCTCTGCACTGGCCCAGCTTGGCATCTTCCACTCTCCTCTTGCTGCTGACTTCCTTGGCGGCAGTGATGGCGCCAGCAGTGAGGGCGCTTGTGGTGATAGTGTCCATGGTGATAGTGTCCATGGTGATGGCGCCCGTGGTGACGGCGTCTGTGGAGGCAGTGACTGTGATACGTGTGTTTGTGAGTGTGGGGGTTGGTCAGGTAAACATTTGAAGAAGAAAGCAAGCAAAGGTGAGGGGAGGGAGCCCACCAGGGAAATGGGCTGATAACTGGTGTAGAACTAACCTTTCATTTTCCGCAATAAGACGTGAAGACCCAATTTAATTAAATTACTAATGTCAAATTTTTAATGAACCTACTTCCGCTTTGGGCTTTCTTCCTTCCAAATTAATGACTGGAATGTCACTATAAATAAAAGTCAGTTCTTTTTAAAAAGTCACTCTCAAATCCTCACTGCTCTTTACTTAATGAGCTGCTCATAACCAGACCTCTCTGACTCGTCCTGCCACCAGGACCCTGGGTGTAATGAATGGGGGCTCATTTCCAACCCTGCCTCCCTTTTGATCCCAAGCCTGCTCCCCAGAGGCTGCACAGTGAAGAGAAAGAGGGCAGACTGTCAGCTCAGAGAGGCTTGGGTTCAAATCCTGCTTGACCACCTCTCTCTGAGTGATCCTGAGCCAGAAACTTTACCTATCTGGGTTTCAATTCCTTCATCTGAAAACAAGGATGGTTTTGTTCTCCTACATGGTGTCCCTGGGTGGTGTAAACGGTTAATGTGCTCAGCTGCTAAGTGAAAGGTTGGAGGTTCAAGTCCACCCAGAAGCACCTTGGAAGAAAGGCCTGGCAATCTACTTCTGAAAAATCAGCCATTGAAAACACTATGGAACACTCTTCTACTCTGACACACAGGGGGTCCCATGAGTTGGAGTTGACCCAACAGCAACTGGTTTTTTTGTTTGTTTGTTTTAGACTGACTGTACCCACTACTGATTGCCTTGTATGTTTTAGGCCCTGGGCTTTTAATTTATTTTATTAATCTTTAAAACAATCCTATGGAACACATAAAAAAAAAGACCAAAAAAAAACCCACGTTCCCATCAAGTCGATTCCCATTCATGGCAACCTCGTGTGTTACAGAGTAGAACTGGTCCCCAGGGTCTTCTTGACTTTAATCTTTACAGAAGCAGATCGCCAGGCCTTTCTTCCATGACACCACTGGATGGGTTCGAGCTGCCAACCTTTAAGTTAGTAGTTGAGAGCAGACCATTTGCACCACCTATGGACTTTACGGGATAGAAGATGAAAAAACTGAGGCACGTAGAGTTTAAGTAACTTTCCCAAGGCCATACAGCTAGAGAAAAGGGCAGAGCTAGGCTGTGAATCTAGGTCTTTCCAGCTCTTAGCTGGAATCTGATGCTGCTTCTGACAGATGCAAAGGGCCCAGCACATAGTGGGTGCTTGATAAACGAGCCTTCCTTTCCCCCTTCATCATTCTAGGCACTGCGACAAGATGAAAGGCGATTACCTGACTGTCCAGATTTAGCAGTGTTTTTTGTTTTTTTTCCCAGTCTGATTTACCAATCCTGTACTTTTTAATAATGTCAAGGGCAACATTTAAAGTGTGGTCTTTTGTAATGTGTCTGATGCACAATTTACTGGGCAGAAGTAGGAGATGGGAGATAAGCCACAAAGCAAAGCCTTTCTAAGGCAACAGCATCCTTTGATTTTCTGATGTTGTCTGTGTGTTCTTTGGCACAGATATTATAACCGCTCATGCCCTCCATCTCTAAAGCCTTCCTTTGATTGCTTAGAAAATGAAGAGTGGGATATTTACATCCAATGCAGCCCAGAACAATATTATTACAGCTTTGCCTGACATTGAACAATTCCATTGTAGATGAGCTGTGGGGACTTTTGTCCCTTCTATAAAGCCAGGCTCTTGCCAATCAACAGAACATTCTCAGTGATTGTATGACAATGAATCTCCTCTGTGGTTGGAGGGTGGCAAGAGTTACATCCTGCCTTCTTTTATTTTTAATCTGAGACTCTGATCCCTATGTTATAATGAAGAGTGGTTAACGCTCTCTGGACAAGCATCCTCCATATGTTTTGGTTTCTTATCTTCCATCAGGTAACCAGTTGATACAAGGTGGTAGGATGGCTGGGAAGAAAGATTCAGAGAAAGCTTCACTCTTGCCACAATGTTTAGTATCAAAAGAAGAGATGGTGGTGTGTGTGTGTGTGTGTGTGTGTGTGTGTGTGTGTGTGTGTGTGGTGTTTGGTGGGTGGGGGTGGCAGTGGGCATGGTCAGCTTGGTACAGTAGATAAAGTGCTCGGCTGCTAACCAAAAAGTCGGTGGTTGGAACCCATCAGCCTCTCTGTGGGATAAAGATGTGGCAGTCTGCTCCTGTAAAGATTTCACCTTGGAAACTCTATGGGACAGTTCCACTCTGTCCTAAGGGTCACTGTGAGTCAGAATCGACTTGATGGCAATGGGTTTTGGGTTTGGTATATTTTGAGTAGGAGTCCATGGGTGGCGCAAATGGTTAAGTGCTGGACTACTAGCCAAAACGCT